ACATCACCTGAGATACCCAATAACATCCTGGTATCTTTCAATGTTTTACTTCCCGTGTATACAACAATATCCAATACCAAGCCACTGTCACAGTCACAGAGTACAAACAGTTTTATACCAAAGCGTTTCCTCTTGCTCGGTATATACTGTTTGAATGACAGTCTACCTTTGAACAAAATCAAAGATTCGTCAAGTACAAGATTCTTGAATGGATAAAAGTACATGTTGAACTTTTCTTTCAGATACATAAAAACATTTCTAATCTTGTATAACCTGTCACTTCTGTCAGGCCTGGTTTTGTCAGAGAAGTGCAACATATGTAACAGTAAGATAAACCTGTTCACTGGGATGATTTCACTGAAGACTGGGGTAGAAATTAGCTGATCTGTGAACCAGTATGCTTTTATATTATGCTTATAGACATGAGGCATAAGCATTATTGTTGCAAAAAGCAAATACATTTCTGCAACAGTCGTCTCTTTCCACCGGTGTAGTCTTGACTGTGGTGATATCACTGTATTTACAATGGTGTACTCAAAATACTTGTTACTTTCCCTGACAATAGTTTCCATCAAGGGCTGGTCAAAGGATAGTTAAAAAAATTCCAGTTCATTGGCAGTGTTTCCAAGGGGACAAGTTGGAAGAATTCCACTTTGAGAGTCATCAAAGTGGTTGAGCTTGGGAACAAAATTGGGATTTTACTGCCAATCCCAGATACAGTTTGCTGGTGGATACTGGACATCATAGGCTGGTTGTGCTGGTAGTTGTGGTTGTGGTGGGCTGGTGGCTGATGCTCTGCTTTGTCCTTGAACTGAGGAGTCAGCAGTGTGGATCCCAGCCTGGGCTGGTGAGTCACGCATGGCCATGGCACTACCATCACCACTACCACCACTATCACCACCAATACCACCATCTACTGATGCCTGTGGTCTATCCATGCCAAGTGTAGCCACATCATCCTCACTTTCACTGTCTATTCCTGGTGTAGGGCCACGGGATGTACTCCATCCCCTGGGCACTGCATAGGAAACACTACCCAAGCGCATGCGGGGGTGTATATACTGACGCTTCACTGGTGAATATGTTTCCTCACTATCACTACTCGAATGATCGTCAAGAGCAATAAAATCACAATCCACGTCACTATCATCATCATTACTGAAGTCAGAGGCCTGGTCACGTGAAAATAATAGTTTTCTCTTGCGATGAGGTACAACTGACCGTGACTGAGGAGTGCCCACACCAGAGGTAGAAGGTTGAGAATCGTCAGGGTTTTCTGCACTACTATCGATATCCTGGTCATTCCTTTCGGTCACTAACTGATCAAAGCCAAAGAATTCGTCTTCATTTCCGCTTCTATCAGAGTCAGAACTATTAGATAGGAAGAGGAGAGTCTCAATTTTCCTTGGAGTGAGAGCTGCCTTGCGATGAGGCATGGTGACTGAGCCGGTGTTCCCACAATGCTATGCGGGCACCTAGAATTTTTGTTTATGGCGCACACACACCACACAGACCCATTCTCTCACATGTAGGCCTACCAGCGTTTTCGCGGTAAATTTGACGCCGCTAGAATTTTGGCGTAGATCTACGGTTTGGACCCTGAACGTAAAGCCGTAGATCTACAGCACGGGCCCTGAAAGGGTTAATAAATGGTAATGCAATTTCCTTGCGGTATATACAGTGGAACCTCGGCTTACAAACTTAATCTGTTCAGTGATTTCTTCGTATGCTGAGTCAATTTTCCTCATTTAAATTAATTGAAAAGCCATTAACCCTTTCAGTATTTTGGCCATACTAGTACGGCTTACGCGCCAGGGTTTTTGACGTACTAGTACGCATAAATTCTAGCGCCCTCAAATCTAGCAATAGAAAGCTGGTAGGCCTACATATGAAAGAATGGGTCTATGTGGTCAGTGTGCACAGTATAAAAAAAATCCTGCAGCACACAGTGCGTAATGAGAAAAAAAAACTTTGACCATGTTTTTGGTTTAACCCTTTGACTGTTTCAGGCCCCTCTCTGAAACTCATTCTATGTCGCCAAATATTCAAAAAAAAAAAAAAATAATTTTTTCTTATGAAAATGTTAAGATTATTTTTCTGAGTGTTTTAGTCCCAAAAAAAATTTTTTGCCATCGGTACTTACCGAGATATAGAGCCGTGAAGTTTGCAGAAAATGAGCCGCGTATGGCAACAGCGGCGACTGCCGCTCACCCGGTAAACTTTAGTTTACTTGTAATTGAAGGTTTTTTGTTTTTTTCACTATTTTATTTTTTCACATAACTTATGTGGCCTATGAGACCAAAGTAAGGTGCAATGTATATATATACATTCGTTGTATACAACACAATAAGCACACAAACATAATTATCAATATATTGTTTACAAAACTTGTTTACAAAAACAAACAAACAATCATCCTCCTCCTCCTCCTTCTCCTCCTCCTCCTCCTCCTTCTTCTCCTTCTCCTCCTCCTCCTTCTCCTCCTCCTCCTCCTTCTCCTCCTTCTCCTCCTCCTCCTCCTCCTCCTTCTTCTCCTCCTCCTTCTCCTTCTCCTCCTCCTCCTCCTTCTCCTTCTCCTCCTCCTCCTCCTCCTCCTCCTCCTCCTCCTCCTTCTCCTCCTCCTCCTCCTCCTTCTCCTCCTCCTCCTCCTCCTTCTCCTTCTCCTCCTCCTCCTTCTCCTCCTTCTCCTTCTCCTCCTTCTCCTTCTCCTTCTCCTCCTCCTCCTCTCCTCCTCCTTCTCCTCCTCCTCCTTCTCCTCCTTCTCCTTCTCCTCCTCCTCCTTCTCCTCCTCCTTCTCCTCCTCCTTCTTCTCCTCCTCCTTCTCCTTCTCCTTCTCCTCCTCCTTCTCCTTCTCCTCCTCCTCCTCCTTCTCCTCCTCCTCCTCCTCCTCCTCCTTCTCCTCCTCCTCCTTCTCCTCCTCCTTCTCCTTGTCTTGTGTGCGAGTGTGTGGCTTATAATTGTTTTGAGTCAGAAGTCGGCAGCTGTCAAAGTGACATATTGTCTCATTAGTTACTCCCCCTACTGCCTGTCAAAACAATGGGGTCGGATGCTGCTTCCCCTCCTCCATTCTATCTAATTATCTTTCTCCCTCATTCTATATCTTTCAATCTGTCTCTCTTTCTATCTGTCTGCCTATCTCTGTCTCACAGGTACACATAAATACAAGTATACATAGTGTAAATTACCTAGGATAACCCAAGAAATCCAGACAAAGTGCTATACTCTGCTTGAAGATGTGAGTAAACGTGATGACACAGTCTTGTGGCTCTCTCTGAGACAGAGAGCTAGATGGACAGACAGGGAGCTTGACAGACAGACAAATAGACAGACAGAAATGTTTGTGTACCAGCAAAAACGAAGGGAGGGCGATGGTCATGTAATATTACCCTCCTTTACGCTCATCAAAGTCAGCTCTTATCAGATGTTATCTCCCCTTATCTTGTCACTGTCATGGGGTGGACTTTTTTTTTCTTGCTTCAAGGGAACAATATTATTACATCTTCTTCCTCCTCCTCCTCCTCCTCCTCTTCTCCTCCTCCTCCTCCTCCTCCTCCTCCTCTTCCTCCTCCTCCTCTTCCTTCCCTCCTCCTCCTCCTCCTCCTCCTCCTCTTCCTCCCCTCCTCCTCCTCCATTGCTTTTGGTCTCAAACTCCTCCTAATCATGAAATTGATCTTCACTGACACTTCCATCTGTGTTAGAGCATCACTTGGGAAGAGAAGAGTCCCAGATTTGCTGGGGAATCACATATTTCTTACCGCTAGACATGCTGAAAAAGGACAACTGAAATGGCATTCCCACAATGCACCACTGGCTTCCCGATTTTTTTTATATGGTGCACACTGACCATGGAGACCCATTCTCTCACATGTGGGCCTACCAGCTTTCTCCTGCTTGATTTGAAGCTGCTAGAATTTATGCGTATAAATACGTCAGAAACATTGGGTCGTAAGACGTATTTATACGTCGGAAACAGTCAAAGGGTTAAAACAGCAACTTTGCACTGTATTTTCGTATGGTATTTATGGTTGTATTCTAGTTTTCCTGGTCTTATTTTATAGAATGGAAGACATGTTACAGAAATTGATTTTGATTGGTTTCACAATGAAGAGTACCTTGAAATTGAGCTCAAAGTAGCAGAAATGTTCGATTTTTGCCAAAGTTCAAAAGTAAACAAATCATGCCATGCGTCCAATACACGTCAACTGGTGAATCTAATATTCTTTCACAAGTGCACTGGTATTATTTATACCATTTCTACACTAATACAGTAGTCTGCATAACAGTAAATCTTCTATTTTTTGTGAGAATGAAAATTCAAAGTGGAAAGCAAAAGAAATGTAAGAGGGGCATGGGGATGTGACTAATGAACAGAGGAAATGTTATTTTAGTGCCAAGAATGTCTTTCTTGTTTATTCTGATGTAGCCCCACTCGTGCACCACACACCACCTCTGCCTCACCTGACCTTTCTCTTCTATTTATGCTATATTTTCAGTAAACTCTGTATAGGATTGACAAAGTCCCTAGTGGCTGAAATATTTCTTTAACCCTTCAACGGTCCAAACGTATATATACGTTCACGCGCGTAGTGCCCCAAACGTATATATACGTTTTCTTTGTCATTCATTCAACATTGCCACAATAAGCCTGAGTCACCTAGACATGAGAGAATGGGTGTGCGCACTCACTGTGTGCCATATTAAAATAATTGGGGATGCCTGGGTACCATATGCTCTTTTTTCCTTTTAAAAGAAAAGATTTTTTCCCTCAAAAAATTTGGGGCGCTACACGAGTGAACGTATATATACGTTTGGACCGTTTAAGGGTTAATAAATGCCCTAAGAGTTGCACATGTCTTAACCCCACATACCCATTACATATGAATAATGAATTGTCTGTAAAAGCTTGCATAACAAAAACAAACAAACAAACAAACAAACAAACGCTAGCACTTCCTAATAGCCTTCTCTCACACAAAAACAATACACTATAATGGCAGTACCTGGTTCTAATTTCAGTCTTTTATGTTCCTTCTTGATGTATACAGGAGGGAGAGCAGACTCGGGCATTATGCTAGAGTCATACCAAAATCCGAGGGCATGGTCAATGTAGACATCATTATCATCCCGTGGTGGAGTTGGAGGGTGCCATATCTGAAATATTTAACACCAGCATCAGGAATAAGACACATATTACATTAATGCAAATGAGGTATTAAAAAGACATGTAATAAAAACTGATACAAATATATTTCAAGTACAGCAAGAAATTGAGTTTTAACTCTTTCATTGGCCACCATGTAGAACTACGTCATGTGGCTAGGGTCCCTCACATAGTTTTATGTCATTAACTCAGCTCACTCAGATCAGCTGTGAGCAGTAAATTATGGCCTCGATATGAGAGAATGGGCCTATGCAGTGAGTATGAACAGCATTAAAAAAAAATCCTGCCCTACACAGTGCATGATGGGAATGCAAAACTCCGACTGTATGAATGCTCTAAAATAGCATTTTTGTGGTACTTTTTCAGAGTTTGTTTTTATTGGCTGATATTTGGTATCACTTGATAGAAAGGAATATATACTACTGAAGCACAGATTATTTTGGTTGTTTTCAAGACTGGAAGTAGCTTGAAATTGAGCTCAAAGCAGCAGAAATATTTGATTTTGCTGATTTTCCTCAGCATGGGTAAGGCCCCATACACCCCTTTACCTACTTTATAGGTTTTTAATAGATCTGATTCAATTATTGGGACACTGAAAACCATGACCAATTATTTCTGGTTATATTTTATTATTCCAGAAATAGAGTAAATCTTCTAATTTTGTGAAATTATGAATTCAACATGGAAGGCAAGTTTTCTAGTTCATCTTCTAGGTATGTAAACAAATCAGGGACAGGGACTCTAGTAAACAATGCTCTGACATCAAAACTCACCAGAGTAATAAAGTCATGTGAAACATTTAAGTTTTGTCATTTTAGAATATGGAAAACTAAGGAAGATTTAAAAATACTCAGGATTTTATGTGGAATATTCAGGATATCATGGAACAGTCATAAGTGATATTTAGGAATTCTTTAGGCAGTAGTATTTAGGAATCTATGAAGGGGTTCCTCTGAACATGATCTAGAAATTTCTATAGTCTTCCTGGATGTACAGTACTTTAAGCTGGCAGTAAGCAAATTCGATTCTTTTATTAACCCTCTGACTGTTTCAGACATATATGTATGACTTACGAGCCGATATTTTTGACGTATTAAAACGCGTTAATTCTAGTGGCTTCAAATCAAGCGGGAGAAAGCGGGAAAATGGGTCTGCATGATGGGTGTGAGCAGTATGAAAAAAATCAGGAGCTCAATGGTGCATTGTGGGAACGCCACTTTAATAATCCTTGTTCACCATACCTCGCAGTAAGAAGTACCTTACTCCTCGCTGAACTGGAGGTCTTCTGTTCCCAAGTGATACTTCTAACACCGATGGAAGTGCCAGTGAAAGTGAATTCCATGGTTTTCAGGAGGGTGTGACCGAAAGCAGTGCCCAGGATAATGTAATTAGTGGTGAAAATCCAGATGACCCACAACCTTCTACTTCTGGTGCTGTGCTGTTTCATTCACATTCGCCTGTACCAGGGCGAAAGAGGAAACTATTTCCCAGTGTACAGGACTCAGATGTGAACAGTGAAAATGATAGTGATTTCCAAGCTACTGAAAGCACCTCGAGTTGTGACAGTGAGGAGGAACATTCTCCAGTGAAGCGGCAGTATGTGCAATGCAGCATGTGCTCTGGTAGTGTGCCATATGCCATACCAAGGGGAGGAAGTAAATCTCGGAGTGTATCCTGTGGCCCTACAACAGGAACTGATAGTGAAGATGATGATATTGTGACAATGGGGATGGCTAATGTGCGTGGGTCAGCAGGTGATGGTGGTGTTAGTGGTGTTGGCAGTGGCATGCTTCATGTGGCACCAGGAGCGGGCCACGCTGGTACCTACACTACTGACTCACCCCAGCCACAACAAAGCCCACCCTCAACCACCCCCACACTCCCACAACCACCTGTCAATATCCAGTACCCACCAGCAGACAGCATCTGGGATTGGCAGCAAGGTGCCAATTTTGTTCCCAATCCCCATCACTTTGATGAAACACAAAATGGAATACGGCTATCATGTACACTTGGGAACAACACCACTGAACTGGAATGCTTTCAGTTATTCTTCGATGAACTCCTGATGGAAATTATTGTCAGGGAAAGCAACACATACTACAAGTACACCATGGCAAACACAATTCTTTCACCAAGATCATGGCTACACCAGTGGAAGGACACAACTGTGGCAGAGATGTACCTGTTCTTTGCCACAATAATGCTTATGCCACATGTGTATAAGCACACTGTCACCACATACTGGTCGATAGACCACCTGATTTCAATCCCAGGTTTCAGTGATATAATACCAGTGAATCGATTTCTGCTACTGTTACATATACTACACTTCTCAGACAAAACAAGGCCTGACAGAAACAACAGGTTATATAAGATCAGGAATGTGTTTATGTACCTGAAACAAAAGTGCTGTATGTATTTTTATCCCCTCAGGAAGCTTGTTATTGATGAATCTTTGATTTTGTTCAAAGGCAGACTGTCGTTCAAGCAGTATACACCAAGCAAGAGGAAACGCTTTGGTATAAAGTTATTTGTACTGTGTGATTGAAAAAGTGGTCTGGTTTTGGATATAATTGTGTACACTGGCAGTAATACATTGCAAGATACTAGGAAGTTATTGGGTATCTCTGGTGATGTTGTTAGAACAATGATGGAGCCATATCTTGGTAAAGGGCATACATTATATGCTGATAACTGTACACCAGCCCCTTAGTGATTTCTTGTGAGTGAACATGACAGACGAATGTGGCACAGTGCGTGGAAATCTTAAGCATATGCCTAGGTTCAACGCAGGCCCTCACAGAGGCGAGGTGTAGGCGTTTGCTGCCAATGACACCATGGCATTTTGGTAGCATGACAAACATTTTGTCACATTATTGACATCAGTTCACTGAAACAAAATGGCAGACAGTGGCAGGCAGAATAGAGACCAACGAACCCATTCTAACATCTGCAGCTGTGATGGACTACAACCTCAATATGCGCTTAGTGGACAAATGTGACATGCAGATTGGGTTTGCTGATTGTGTTTGCAAAAGCTATAAGTGTCACATAAAATTCTTTTTCCATCTTCTTGACATTTCCATGCTGAATGCTTATAGTATATATAAGTTGAAGACCAACAACAAACCGAAATATGGTGAATTTTGTGTTGGTCATCAGACAAATAATATTCTAGTAGTACCAAGCAACAACATCTGCAATAGACCAGTGCCTACCCTCTTGTCTGAGGCTTGGTGATCACTACCCTATACAACTGCCTCCTACTACTTTCAAGAAAAGTGCTCAGAAGAGGTGTTATGTCTGTGCACATACCACAAAATGCCCACAAAAACACAGAGACACTCGTTTTATGTGTGAGGAGTGTAAAATACCACTGCTCATATCCCCATGTTTCAAAGAATTCCACAAGCTGCAGCAGTTCTAGGAAAGTGTCCAGTGACTGTACATTTGTATATATACAGTCAACCCTCAACTAACGGCGGCATTAAGTAACGGCAATTTTGTCTAACGGCACTTTTTGCCGTAGAAAAAATGCCTTAACCAATGGCGAAAAACTTAACCAGCGACGTTTGTCGCGAACATGTCTATGTGCCCGGAGCGTGGCCTGAGCGGGCCCAGCCACTCCAAGAGTCAGTGTGCCATTGTTTACAAGCTGTTGTGGTTGGTTTCCACATGTGCTTCCCATATATTTTGGATAATTCCACTATTTCTAGTGCTTTTAACTGCTAAATAAGCCACCAAGGGTCCCAAGAAAGCTTCTAGTGCCAAGCCTGTGTTAAAAAGAGTAAGAATTACGATGGAAATGAAGTCCTTCTGGAAAGGGATTCTCCTTCCAAGCAATAGACAATTCTGACTCTCCCCTGCTGCTGGCACATCACTCATCAACAACTCCACAATAAAGGTAAGTGGCATTTAATTATTGTTTATTGTGCATGTCCCATTTTTTCCATACAAGGAAATGTATATTTCATGTAATATTTTTTTTTTCAGACTTTGGGGTGTCAGGAACGGATTAATTCTATTTCCATTATTTCTTATGGGGAAAATTAACTCGACCAACGGCAATTTCGACCAACGGCAAGCCCTCTGGAACAGATTACTGCCGTTCAATGAGGGTCCACTGTATTATAGAACAATAGTAATAAAAAAATTTTTATTGTTGGTTTGTGTAAACAAGTTTTGTAAACAATATAATGATAAAAATGTTTGTGCATTTATTGTGTTGTATACAAGTGTATGTGTAGGTTGCACCGTACTTTGGTTTCACATGCCACATAAGGTACTTGAAAAAAAAAAATGCTGAAAAATACAAACATTCGAATGGGAGTAAATATAAAAATACCGGGTGACCGGCATTTGCTGCTGTTGTCATATGCGACCCATGTTCTGCCAAGTTTATGCCTCTATATCTCGGTAAGTACTGAACGCAAAAATTTCTTGGGGGCTTAAAAGAATCAGCAAATTAATCTTAAAATTTTGGTAAGAAAAAAGTTTTTTTTTTTTTCAAATATTTTGTGACATACAGACACACTTCAGGATTTGGGTTTGCGACAGTCAAAGGGCTAATACGATGGTTTACATATACAGCCTCACCTCACTAAATGACATCCAGTGGAACCTCGGTTTTTGTAACTAATTCATTCCAGAAAGTCTGACGAAAACCGAATTCAATGAAAACTGAAGCAATATTTCCCATAATAAATAATGTAAATCCAATTAATCCGTTCCAGATGCCCAAAAATACTATTAACAAAAAAATACATTTTATAGAGAATAACTATAGTCTTACAGAAAACAATGAGAAATAAATATAAAGGACTAATGAAATGGATAAATGAACATTTAACATCACTTTTACCTTTACTGAAGACTCTTGTTGGCATATGGAAGACGGCAAGAAGGGGAGAGGGAGGAGAGGTAATCTCTACCACCATCACTACCACTCTCTACCACAATCACTACCACTCTCTACCACCATCATAAC